ATACTCACCAATTCTCTTCTGTGCCCCCGTGATGACCTTAGGGGCAGCCACAAGGTCGGCTCTCAACCTTCTCTTGCGGAGGCTGAATAGATCCAGTTTCTCTAGTCTCTCCTCGTAGGGCTTGGTCTGAAGGCCCTTAACCATACGAGCGGCCCTTCTCTGAACCCTCTCCAGGTTATCCGCATCCCTCTTGAAGTGCGGCGCCCAGAATTTCATGCAGTACTCCAACTGCGGTCTGACTAGAGCCCGATAGAGGGGAAGTATCACCTCCTTGGACCTATTCGTCATGCATCTGCTGATGCATGATAAAGTGCCATTGGCTTTGTTGATGGCTTCGTCACACTGCCGATTCATGTTCATCTTGGAGTCCACTAGGACTCCAAGATCCCTTTCCACTTCCATGCCACCCAGCAGGTCATTCCCTAGGCTGTAGGTGTGCTGGACATTTTTCCTCCCTAGGTGCAGCATTTTGCATTTCTCCTTGTTGAACTGCATTCTGTTGCTTTCTGCCCACTTGTCCAACCTGTCCAGATCTGCTTGCAGCTGTTCCCTGCCCTCCGGCGTGTCCACTTCTCCCCATAGCTTTGTGTCATCTGCAAACTTGGACAGAGTACATTTCACTTCCTTGTCCAAGTCACTGATGAAGACATTAAAGGGTATCGGTCCAAGGACCGAACCCTGCGGGACTCCACTTCCCACACCCTTCCAGGTCGAAACCGACCCATCCACCACGACTCTCTGGGTGCAACCCTCTAGCCAATTAGCCACCCACCGGACTGTGTAGTCATCCAAGTCACAGCCTCTTAACTTGTTCACCAGTATGGGGTGGGATACCATATCGAAGGCCTTCCTGAAGTCTAAGTATACGACATCCACCCCTCCTCCTGTGTCCAGGCGTTTTGTAACCTGGTCATAAAAAGTAACTAGATTGGTCAGGCACGATCTGACCAATCTAGACTAGAAAATAGTTTCTAGTCTATTTCCCCTTTTTTATTCAGAAGTGGCACTCTGTTCCCTTCCTGGTCATCCAAATGCCCAGATTTGATCATGTACCTGCAACATTTTCCCCCTGGTTTCCTACAGGGCATTTTTGGTAATTATGCACCTGGATGATTTCTCTTCCTAAATGTGCAGCTCTGCACATGTAAACAACAGTAGCATAGGGATGAAGCCAGAAGCCCAGGGCAGTGGGGCAGTGGTGACTTCTGGCTGCATTGCAATCATGATCACACAGCTGCCAAAAGACCATTTTTTTTACTCCTATCCCCAAGTCAACACCTAGGGCAGTTGCCCCATTAATCCTGCCCTTGTTATGCCATTGATGGATACTTATGTATGTGCATACACTAAGCAAAGTGAGAGAGCACCCTGCCATCTTTTTTTTTTCCCTAAGTAGCTGAGCCACTTCTTCCAATAGCTAAACAATCCAGGCCCTGCCTTCATCCAGAGGGGGGTTGAACCTCGGTCTCACTCAGGGGGAATGCAGAGGTACAGTTGCACCCTGACTTGATTTGTGCTTCACCGGAAGTTTAAAACCAACTGCCTGGTAGTTGCACCAGCATTTATTCTCAGGTAGCTGTGAACAAGTCAGTTGACATTATAATTCATCTGATTCCTTTTAAACCTTTCATTCCACAGGTGCTAACAATCCCCTCTCCTTTTTAATAATCTTGAAATTCCACTAATAAAACTCTCTTTCCTTCTACAATTCTGCTCTTTGTTAATCTGGTAATAGCTGCTCTCCAAGGATGGTTGTGATGCCCCTGGGGACCCCCTTATCTCTTGCTTCCTTGGCTTTCTGTGGAGAATCTACTCTTCACCTTGCCTGTTGTGCCTTCATGTGTTTACCTTTTATATAAAAGAGAGGAGCCCAAGGCTTCCAAGCTTGATCTTGCACTCCTGAGTTCAGATGTCTCTGCTGTCTGCCTTAAGGGCTTATTACATGTCTCTGCCTGCCCCTCACACCATGCCTATGCCTCGCAGATGTCACTGTTCATTACTGAGCTGTCTCTGTCTCTGCCCATAACTGGGTACTTTGCCTATCTCAGCTACTCCCAGGTGTGGCTCTGAGTCCCTGACCCTAATCCTGCCTCTCCTGAGGCACCAGGCCCTGGCCCTGACTCTGTCCTTCTCTGGGCTACAGGACTATGACCAGCACAGGCCTCTCCTGGACCTTTGGCTCCTCCTGGACCTATTCACTCCTCCTGGGCTATGACTCATAGCCCAGAAGTAGTGACTAGGGGCAGGGAGCCAAAAGATCTCAACTGGTCTAGCAGCAGAGTCTGGGCCCAGGAGAAGCCAAAGGTCCAGGAGAGGCCTGTGTTGGAGACTGATAGGGTCATAGACTCTGCTTCTCACCCCTTATGGGCTACGGGTCCTTGACCCTCCTTGCTTTCACAACCATCCACCTGCATACCGCAGCTTAGGTGTTTGCCAGGAGCCTGGTTGCAGCCCTGCCAATCAGGAGTTCTTTACATCTCAGCTGCCAGGATCAGATTGTTGCCCAGCTTAAGTTTATGTTCTGCAAGTCCAGCCTCCTGTTGGGTCTTGTGATACCTTATTGCCTCCTGCAGCACCTGCAGAATGCCCAATCTGCAGTCTGTCTTCTCTTAAAGTAGCAGTAGCACCAAGACTCCTGCTACGGGACCTGAGAAGGGAGCAAGTCAAGGGATATGGCTCAATGAGGTGGGTGCTAGCCTTGAAGGTAAAAGGCCTGGGTTGTAGCTCAGGCCTTTGATCCCAATATAGCAAAAACTTCCTCCTGCAGTGCCCTGCATCCATGCTTTCCAGTGACTAAATTATTCACTCAGCTTCAAAAGGAGTGTTTGGGTTAGTGTGCTGTGCTGAGAAAATAGAAGAGGCTCTGGTTCAAACACCCTCTGCAGAGATGAGGGTAGGAACTGTAACCCCAGACTTGTAGCTTACCAAGCTGGTGCCCTATCATGTTTGATTGCAGGGAGAGGTCCCTTGAGGCTCTCTGGGTCAAGATACAAGGGGGCTCACAAGAGGGATACCTGATGGTGGGAATCTACTATAGACCTCCCTACCAGGAAGAGGAGAGTGATCAGGAATTCTCCAGGGGAGACTGAGGCAGCCAGAACTAAAGACCTGATTGTCATGGGTGACTTCAACTACCCTGATATCTGTTAGGAAGATCATTCAGCCAGCTCCAGCAGGTCACCCAGCTTCTTGACAGTCATTGATGACCTGTTCTTGACACAGGCTGTGGAAGGGCCAAGTTGGGGTAAAGCCACTCTGGTCTTAGTGCTGGCCAAAAGGGAAGACATGGTAGGCAACCTGAAGATTGGAGGTACTCTGGGCGACAGTGATCACAATATGATTATGTTCACAATCCACCAAAGGCTTGGAATTCAGTCAGTAGAACAGAAGTCCTAGACTTCAGAAGGACAGACTTTGGTAAACTCAGGAGTCTAGTTAGGAAGGCCCTCTGAGACCATTGACTGGACTATTTGGGAGTTTAGGAACAGTGATGCATCCTTAAGGGGGCAATGCTCAGTGCTCAAAAAGAGGCCATCCCTATGTGGTCAAAAAGTGGGAAAGGGGCCAAGAGACCCACTTGGCTCAACAGGAATATTAGGGAACTTTTGTAAAAGAAAAAGGAAGCATATAATCAATGGAAAAATGGTTTAGCAAACTGAGAGGAGTACACTCATATGGCCAGGGTCTGCAGGTATAAGACATGGAAAGCCAAGGCAGGAATGGAGATCAAGCTGGCAACTGAAATAAAGGGCAACAAAAAGTCCATCTATAGGTATATAGGGAGCAAGAAAAAATCAAGCTCCACTATGGGACCCGTACCGAATATGGAGGGGGAGCCCACTATTGAAAAGGCAGTGCTCTTAAATACTTACTTCACACTGGTATTCCTGAAATCAGACAGGAGCTGTTCACATTTCCAGAGGCTTAGGGAATATGGGGAAGACAACAGTCCACATGAAATCAGTCCCAAACAGGTGAGGGTACTGTTAGAATATATGGTTGTTTTCGAGTCTGCTGGGCCAGATGACCTGCATCCAAGAGTCCTGAAAGATCTAGCTGAGCTCATAACATGGCCTCTGGTGAAGCTGTTTGAAGAGTCATGGAACTCAGGAGTGGTCCAAAATGACTGGAAGAGGGCTAACGTGGTGCCCATCTTTAAGAAAGG